TTTGGGGACAGCAAATGAATGCCTCTGAATATTAATGGCACTCAAATGAGACACTCTGGACTGTATTTTCTTTCTTTTTCTAAAAATATTTTATTTGGGGCTGGAGAGATGGCTCAGTGGTTAAGAGCACTGACTGCTCTTCCAGAGGTCCTGAGTTCAAATCCCAGCAACCACATGGTGGCTCACAACCATCCGTAATGAGATTTGATGCCCTCTCCTGGTGTGTCTGAAGACAGCTACAGTGTACTCATAAGTAAAATAAATAAATCTTTAAAAAAAAAATTTATTTATGTGTCTGTTTGTCTGTTTGTATACGACATGCGTGTGGGTACCCGCCGAGGCCAGAAGACAGTGTTCGAACTCTTGGAACTGGAACATTGGCCATTGTGAGTTGCTCACTGTGGGTGTTGAAAAACCAACCTGAGGTCCTCTGAAAACTCAGCAAGTGCTCTTAACCACTGGGCTGTCTCTCTAGCCTGTGGACTATATTTTCTATATTTCTAATAGTTTATAAGTCTACATTGGTTTTAAAAAGAAATCTCTTGGGATGGAGCCAGCAAGATGGCTCAGCAGGTAGAGGTGCTTGCTGCCAAGACTAATGACCTGAGTTCAATCCCTAGGACATACAGAGTGGAAGGAGAGAACTGATTCCACATTGTCCCTGACATACATGCCATGACATCATGTACCCACACACATACACTAAATAAACAACATTTTCTAAATCTCTTGGGGGCACATAGCAAAGGCTAACAGATATTGAACCAATGAATGGGGGAGAGAGGAAGCAACTTAAGGAAGAAAAAAATTGGGAGCTGGAATCAGGATGCAGATATACCAAGGGGAGCTCAGTCTTTCATTAACTGTCCCAAAACCTTTGCTAGGGCCTGGCATGGTGGTGCAGGCCTCTACTCCCAAGAGACAGGTGAATTTCTTGAGTTCATGGCCAGCCTGATCTACAGAGAGAGTTTCAGAACAGTCAGGGATCTGCAGAGAAGCCCAGTCTTGAAATAAAATAAAATAAGCTGAAAAGTAGTAGATAAAGATACTTAGCATCCTTTTTTTGGCTTCCGTATGTATGTGCATGGGTTTGCATGTGAGCACACACGTGTGTATTATGACATGCACGCAGGCGAACACACATGTTCATATCCCAGGAGAATTTTCCAAGGAACTTTACGAGCTGACTGCTTAAATCCCAAATGAAAAAAACAAAGATCCGAGAATAGCCAACAACTTTCTGAAGAATGAACATACACAGACCGAGAGGTATGACAGGCATCTCCCCAGTGTATCAAATCTTAGTCCAAAGTTACGGCATCCAGATGAGAAAGAATTAACATAGGGTAGACAGAGGCCAAAGAAACCGAGTAGTTAACTCAGAAGCAGACCCAACCCAGGCTTGAGCTGAGGTGGTACCCAAGTGAGGACCTACTAAGCAAAGGGAACTGTGGCATGTGCAGGTGTTTCTCTCTCTCTCTCTCTCTCTCTCTCTCTCTCTCTCTCTCTCTCTCTCTCTCTCTCTCTCTCTGTGTGTGTGTGTGTGTGTAGATATTTGTGTGACCTTGTGCAGTGGGCTCATTTGCAGTAACTAGAGGCTCTTTTATGTAGCTAAGGGATACTCACTATATGTTTAAAGATGTGTGTATCATCCATCAAATCATCCACAGAGATTTCGTATCAGTTGGTGACAGTCTGTGTGTTGTATAGTGTTATGTGCAGGAAGTGGTCATAGGTTCTATCTGTGGAAGACAAGAGTCTGCTCTGTGTATGTGGATCTGTAGCATGGATATTATGTGGGTTTTTTTAAAAGATTTTTTTAAAAATTCACTTATTTTAAATCATATGTTTCGTGTATATGTTCTGTGTTCAGGTACAGCTGTGTCCGATCCCCTGAAGTTGGAGTTACAAATGGTTGTGAGCCACTAGATTAAGACTGAACTCAGGTCCTCTGCAAGAACAGCACAGGTTCTTCAGGGCTGAGCCATCTCTCCAGTCCAAGATTTTGTTTTGCTTTGTTTTTTTTAATTTTATGTCTTTAGGTATGTATGTGCTCTGTGTGTATGTGTGTCTGTGCACTTGAGTGCACAAACCCTCAAAGGCCAGAAAGGGCATCAGATCTCCCAGAACTGGAGCTGAAAGCACATGACATGGGTGTTGGAAACTGAACTCAGGTACTCACCCCACCCTCCTCAGGTCCTCTTCAAAACCAGTATTTGCTCCCAACCACTGAGCCATCCTTCTCTCGAATCCCAGTTTTGTTTTAGAGGGTTGTTTTTGTTTTTTTTTAAATAGGCCCTCACAGAGCTCAGGAGCTCCTAATTGCTATCCAGTTGAAGGTCACATTGATCTCCTGACCCTCCTGCCTCCCTTGACTACAGGCTTGGGCCCCCACACATGCTGTTTTGTGTGATGTGTGTGAAAGTTGTGTTTGTTCCTGTGTAAAGATCTGAGGACTGAGGTGTGTGCATGTGTGTGTGTGTTTAAGTTATACAAAGCTTAGCTCTAAAGACCCATGCAAAGCCCGAGTGGTTCTTCAGGTCAGCTAGACAAACAGCTACACCTGAATCCCACTCGGGTGATCCACTTCTTACCTGAGCAGTAGTGAAGACGCTGGTCCAAGAGGTGACTGAGCTGCCCAGGACGGACCGCTGAGAGCTTGTTTCTTTGAGAGCATGTTTCCTTGATTCCTCGGAGCTCAGGAAGCAGGGAGGAGTGAGGGAGGAGTAAGCAGGAATTAGGCCCAGACCCAAGTGTGTGATTCACTTCGTTCTGCCCTCCCATCAGTGCTGACAGTAGAGTGAACAATTAGGGGAAGCTTGCCTGAAGCCTCTGTTGAACAGTGTGGCACCTGAGGCCAGGAAGCTAACTCCTTGGGCAGAGCCCCAACCCCAAGGTTTCCCAAAATACTCACACCCAACCAGGACTCTACCCAGTTCAGCCAACACCTGAACATCTGAAGCCCCTCTGGGAGGAAGGGCTGGGTGTGGGGAAGCAGGAAATGAAAGAATCAGGCTCCTTGTCTGAGGGGGAGAAGGAAGATTCCAGCATTTTCCCTAGGAGCCCAAACTTCAACCAGACAGTCCCAAATCCAGTAAGACTGACTGAAAAGACTCAAAGCTGATTTCAGAAGCCACCTGTCTCGAGACACACTGAGGATCACAGATGGCCAAAGGCACTCCAAACAAGGAAGATTGATAACCTTTGTCTTTGGGGACACCTAGTCTATTGGGCAATAATGCTGCCTTCTGAAGCTGCCTCCACTCAGAGGGAGGCAGACAACCTCTGAGGAGCTTTGTCTAATGGAAGCCAAAGACCACAGCTCCGACAAGGACTTAGGACTTGGCTGGAGTTCCAGCTTCTACACTGTCCCTCTCCTCCCACCTCCTCACCAGAATGTTGACTAGACTACCAAAGCAGTGACTAGTTGCCTACAACAGTTTCAAGTTGCCTTTAAAGGCACAATGGCTACTTCACAAGAGGAAGTTAAGGCTTCACATCATTACTGACTCAAATACCAAGATCCTCACCCTACCTCACTGGCTCCCTCTTTACCTAGACCCAGTGAGGACTCATTAGCTGTTGGCTGCGCCATGGAAGGTATGGGGTGGTGACTTTGACTCACGCAACCACAGGAGGAGTGGAGTAGCTAGTCTTTTAGCAGTCCTCCAGTGAAGGAGTCTTCTGCTGCCGGGAGCCCCCTTTCCCACTCTGGGGAACAAGGGGCTGCAGAGGTACTGCCCTAGGTAGAAGTCAGACTTGGCTGTGAGACTTCAGTTCAGTCAATGTCCAAGACCCTCTCTCTAGCTGGATCACCACAGAGAAAGCTGTTCTAAGCAAGGTCATACACTGGGTGAGGGTCACTGCTGTTCTTCCAGGCCAGTCCATGGCCAAAATGTGGCAAGAAGGAAATGGACTATTCCTTCTAGAAAATATGATGTTCTCACTGAAACCCAAACCGCTGAAGGTGACAAGGAACTCCCGATTCTAGCTCCATCCCCATGCTCCAGGCAGAGTATTTCTGGATATGACCTTACCGCCAGCCATCTGGGGTGACTTCTCCTGACCTAAACATCTTCCCCTCATGTCCTCCTCAGCTATGCCAGTCACTGTTAACTGCTCCAGATTCCTCCTCTCATTGACAAATCTCTTTGTGATCTGGAGGTGCCCAGTCCACAGGAGCAAGGCTTACTCTGCCTGTTGTCCATTGCTGCCTTCTGCTCACTACAGGATGTCCTTGGGCCCATTTGCGGGACAAGTTCATCTGGGGAAACCGCTTCCTGGACCATTCACTTAGCAGTTGTAAGGTGTGGTGTCAACACAAGCTTCCTGCAACTGAGAAGACATACCCTCCTGGAACAGCAAAAGGGCAGCCATTCCCTGGTGTTCCGGAGGCTGTGAATACCAGACATAGGGGAACAAGCACTGTATTTTATCATGCAACTGAAGCTGTGTAACTCCCACAGAACACCACACTCTCCAGGAGGCACTCGCTGGCTGGCAAGGACAGAAGCAAGGGCCTTCAGAGTAGCGGGTCCATGTGTCTTCCTTAGCCTTTGCACCTCAGCTGTGAGGCATACAGGGAGGGAGTTACGTGTGTCCAGCTTTTCAGAGCTGGGCCCTGGAAGAGAATGGCTTTGCCTGCCCTTGGAGACACACCCAAGGAAGAGAGCATCAAAGGCTTGGGTATAAAAATTTATTATACGTAAAAGAATATTACCACTAATGAATGCAGACAAGCGAGGACACAATGGGACTGGCTGGAAGATGGCGAACTCTTTGGAAAGTGAACAGGTTTAAGTGGCTGGGAGCCTTGTGCCAAACACCACAGGGCGTTAGGGCAACAAGTGACTACCCTGTGAGTCCACAGTGCCTCTCCTATTGGAGCAAGGGCCTCAAGGATGGCTTCCCAAGGTGGCCTGAGCTGATCTGGAGTCAGGGCAACATCACTGTAAGCAAGACAGTTAACTGGAAGATTTCCTCAAACTGTACATGACCCTTGAGCCACCACAATTCAAATATAAAACATTAAGTTACAGGCTGTGGGAAAAGAAGGCGGCACGAGTCAGTAGCTTCTTCCAATCCTGGTGGTTCTGTGGGTAAGGATGGGGGAAGGTTAGACCAAGCCCCTCCTCTCAATGTACAAAGAATTACTCTCATTGATATTAAATTGTATCGAAAACAAAATAGACTAAAAAGCAATTGCTACTCTATGTTGGGGTGGAGAAAGAATGAGTCCTTAAAGCAGGAGGAGGCAGTGGGGAGGCTCTGGCCAGGGAGGCCCGGCCGTGGTCCTGCTGCTCACTCCCGCTGCTCCATCTTGACTTTCGGCGGCCGCAGGAAGGTCCGATTCTTCTTCTCCTTCTTCCCCTTTGTATTTGCCTGGAAATTTCGCCAACTGTCCACTCGACCATCCCGACTTTCCTGAAAGAAAGGTCATTAATAGTCATTAAAGGTCAAGGTAAGTTCATTAATGAGCAAAGGGGCTGAGCCTGTCCTGCCACCTACATCCTCCCATAGCCCAACCCTGATGAGCCCTCTGGAACAGTCCAAGAGCAGAGAGAGCTGAGCCAAGTCTTCTCCCTCCTCTAAGGACCCAGTGAAGTTTCCCAGCACCCTCTCAAAGCAGCTTGAAGAGGATGAGCTGGGTGAAGACATCACAAGGCCGTTTGCTGTGGATCTCTGGGCAGCCATTCCGTACGTTGTTCCCCGTGCTGAGCTACATTCCCAGAGCTAGCTTACTACTTCTTTTGTTCAATGTTGTGTTTTGTTTTGTTTTTTTTTTTTTTGATACAGGGTTTCTCTGTGTAGCCCTGGCTGTCCTGGAACTCACTCTGTAGACCAGGCTGGCCTCGAACTCTGGAACTCAGAGATCCGCCTACCTCTGCCTCCCAAGTGCTGGGATTAAAGGCGTGCGCCACCACTGCCCGGCTTTGTTCAGTGTTTTTAAGACAGCATTTCACTATGTATCCGTAACTGGCCTGGAGCATACTAAATAGACCAAGCTGGCCTTGAACTCCCTGAGATTTGCCTCCCCCGCCTCCCGACTGCTGGGACAAAATGTGTGCCCCATCATGCCTGGTGCCTAGCTTGTTTCTTCTAACCTTTACGAAAAGCTGCCTACAGTGTGCATTGGACAGGACTGTACAGTGATGCGGGGTTGATTAGTCTTGAACTACAGAGCCAGCTGGGAGCACGGCCATTCTTTCTTCACTTTGTTCCTGCTGCCCTTCTGACATCTCCGATGGGATGTCCCCAAACCAGCTACTCTCTGGCCATAAAGATCTCTACCTCATTATCAGATGGGCTACTCACTTTCCGTTTCCATAAAGCCGGACAGAAACAGAGCCAAAAATTACAGTTAGCCAAGCTCTACCCTAAATTCTAACTCCTATAAAGGACCAAATAAAATCCACGACTCAGCCGGACACTTGAAGAGCAATGAATCCAGTTCAAAAGCTACAAGGTGAGCTAGTGTGGTGGCTTGTACCTATAGTCCCAGCACTGGAGTGGCTGAGGGAAGAGGATCATCATGGGTTCAAGGACAGTCTAAGCTACATAGACTTGGGCTATGAGACTGTCTTAAAAACAAAAAACAAAATGTCAGAAGTCTCTCTGCAAAATGGATAATTGGGTCACAAGAACCTACTTCCAGTGGTTTTTTTATGTAGTCTAACTATGTAGCCCTTCATCCCAGTATTTGGGAGGTTAAAGAAGGAGGATCAGGAATTCAATGTTTGAGCCTGACTGGCCTATAGGAAACTCAGCTCAACCCTCACCTCCTGCCTGTTTTCACAAATTGTCCTCAAAGCTAAGTGGGGTGCTTCGTGTTACCCTGATGTCACTTGCGTTGGGCCCATTTGGTGGCTGCATCTGCCAGTGCCTGTGTCAGGGAAAGCTACGAAGGAGAAGCAGCCCCAACTGCTTCTCCAGGGCCCGTTCTCACCCATACACCCCACTTTCCTGTCTGCCCCAGGCAGTTCTGGAGCCCCCAGAATGACCCACCTCAGCCCCTCGCCTCAGACACTCACCTCAAAGTTTTTCTGCCATTCTCTCTCTCGCTTGGCTTTTTCCTGGGCTTCAATCTCCTCTTCTCTCTGTCGCTTCCTGGGAGGAAAGCAGAGCAGTCTTTACTCAGTGCTCACAGGAGCTGAGGCACAGCTGCACAGGAGCACAGAGCCCCAGCCAGGGGAGGCCTCATCCTAAAACATGCAGATGACAAAACCCAACCTAAAATGACATTTCACACAAAGTCAACTAGCAAAATCTAATTACTCCAGTCAACAACAGAAAGTGCAGAAGCAAAACTGACCCAGTGTTTCCTTTTGCTTTTTCTTTTTTTTTTTTTTGGTTTGGTTTTCCGAGACAGGGTTTCTCTGTGTAGCCCTGGCTGTCCTGGAACTCACTCTGTAGACCAGGCTGGCCTCGAACTCAGAAATCCACCTGCCTCTGCCTCCCAAGTGCTGGGATTACAGGTGTGCACCACCACCGCCCGGCTGTTTGTTTGTATCTCTGTGTAATAGTCATGGCTGCCCTGGACCAGGGTAGCCTCAAACTCATAAAATCTGCCTGCCTCTGCCAGGAGTAAAGGCATATACCACCAGGCCTGGCTTCCTTTTGTTTTGGTTTTTGTGTTTTTGTTTTTTTCTGAAACAGTGTCTTAAGTAATTTAAGCTGGCCTCAGACTTGCTATTTAGCCAAAAATAGTCTTGATCTACCTTTTTATTTTTTTTCCTTTACCTCCCAAGTGCTGGGATCACAGGCGTGTTCCACCATACCTGGCAACCTCCACACTTCTGACAATCAAAGGAAGTCACACTTGAGCCAGGTAACATATTAAGGTTATTCCATTACAATCCCACCTATTCACCACAGCTGCAGCTACATGGCCTCAAGAGCCTCAAAATCTCTATTGCATTCCAAAGAGGAAAAAAACACACTGCACTCCTCGATAGAAATAAACTCCCTATGGACATGTGTAGTCAGTATTTTCCAAAAGTCTACAATGTCTGACTAGCTCAGACAGTCTGGTCTCATGCATGCTAGGCAAGAGCTGACCACTGGGCTGTATCTCTGCCTCTCCAGTTTATTCTTGTAAATGCCCTGCTACCAGATTCATCAGAAAATCCGCAGAGACCCGAGTGAGCTCATCTGAGCATTTAAATGGGACTAGGATGAAGACGGAGATGTGCACCTCTCATGCATTTCTTTGGCTTCTCTCTCTTTCCTTTTAATCTCCAGCTCAGCAAACAGCTTCATGGTCTGTTTGTAGACAGCCTGTTTGAACTGTAAGAAAATTAAGGACAAAGACAATAAAAGTAAACACTTCACATCAACACTGGCATCAAACAATTATATTTAGAGCCCTACAGATTACAACTGGGCAATGAACTGTCTGCAGGGAGAAGCAATCACCAATAGTTTCCTCAGAGAGAAAAGACGCCTGCCTAGACCTTTCCTCTCCAGCCTGCAGATGTCCTGTAAGGACACATGTGCACTTACGCCACCACTTGGGATTTTAAAGGTTGCTCTTCTCCAGAATTCCAAGACTAACTTCTACTCTTCCTTTTTATAACACTTCGTAACTTTGACTTAGTAAACGGAACAAAGCTGAGTCCTGCATGTAAATGGAAATGGATGGGGCACACACACACATGTAAATGGATGGGGCACACACACATGGAAATGGATGGGGCACACACACACATGGAATTGGATGGGGCACACACACACACATGTAAATGGATGGGGCACACACACATGGAAATGGATGGGGCACACACACACATGGAATTGGATGGGGCACACACACACACGGAAATGGATGGGGCACACACACACACATGTAAATGGATGGGGCACACACATACATGGAAATGGATGGGGCACACACACACACACATGGAAATGGATGGGGCACACACACACA